TCACAGTAAAGATTCATGTTCTGATACCAATTGTAGAAGTGTTTAATCAAGTACGAGAATCAAAATCAGAGTAAAAGATGAACACAAGAAGTAAATAAGATCTGTTTTAGCTCATATTACATTCAGAGAACAAGAGTACAAAACTCATAGTAAAATGATAGGAAAACTCTACTATCAACTCTATGTTCAGCTCCTATTTATAGGAGGCTGTAAGTACAAAAAATACTAAGGCTAGACATTAAGCTTCGTCAAAAAGATGTCTTAGCAAATACATAAGGAAACATACGAAACTATCTATTACACAAACTTTGACATATTACAAGATATTTCGACTATACAAAAGACTCTTAAGAACAAGGTTTAGTACTCTAAAAACTAGATGGACACATGTTATTAACACTTCATAAGGTAAATAAGAGTTTGGTTATGGAGAAATAAGATAATAACCAAAATGGGCATTTTAAATGAAGAAAGTGGAAAGTGTAAATGTATGTAGCCCTCATGTTCACACGCTTATAAATCAATATCCATTGACTTTCAGAAAAAAGTTCAAACACAAAAACTTTATTACACACGACATGCTTTCTAGGAATATAAAAATGAGCTCGTTTGGATTTCATATGACAGAGTTATGGAGGTTTACGGTTGGTCCCATATTTATTATGTGTGTTGTCAAAATATTAACTAAGATTGACTTTGGATTTACTATGTTCATCACAACTTTAAATGAGATAAGCACATTTTTTCTTGTTATTTTAACAAGAAACTTGTTGAGAACTTAGTGTGAAAGCAAAATGGAAGATTAGAGTGTGTAAGCACAACCAAGAGGAACTCATTTTTATAACAAAGTTAGTAAACAAGGTAGAAGAAATTTATAAAAAAAAATTGGACCAAATTTGTGAAAATTGAAGATTATGCTAAAACTATTAGAAAAAGAAACATGGTAAATTTATAAATGTTTTCTAAACTTTAATCAAATATGTCAAATTAAAAATATATATTAAAGTAGAGGCTGCATAAAAAAAGTCAAGCCCTTCAGGCTTCACCTCTTCGATATAATAGATGTATGTCAAAGAGTCTTAGCCATTAAGCTGGGGGAGGAGGCATGGTCCCGTGTGACCACCTTGATGAAAATTTGGCCCGAAATTTCGTTTTTCATTTGTTATCCGTCGGTTCTAAGATTGATAAGAAAGTTTTGGGACAATATTTCTAAGAAAAATGTAATCAATAAAGATAGAAAAATCTTTAAAAAGACATTAAACAAAGATGTGAAAATATTAAAATTTGTAAAACAAAATTAACAAAAACGAAATTGTAAGTTGTAAAAAATAAAATAAAAACAAAGTTGTAAGATGAGCTATAAAAAAATGTATAATTGTAAAAAATATAAAAGATGTTGTAATATTAATTTTTGAAGAAGTTAAAAACAAAATAATGTAAGTAAAAAATGTGGAAGAAATTTATAAAAAGAATGTGGACCAAATTCATGAAATTTAAAATTAGTGAAAGACTATTTGTCTAAAAGGGGGCACGGTTCCATGTGGTCACCTGGATGACATTTTGATCTGAAAACTCAACCTTTTGATTTGTTATCCGTCCGTTCTACGATTGATAAACAAGTTTGGACTTTGGAGACAATATTTTCAAAAAAAATGTAATCAATAAAAGCGCGCGCGCACCAAAAAAAAAAAAAAAATCAACAAAGATGTTAAGAATATTAAATCCGTAAAAACAAATTTATAAAAATGAAATTATAAATGAGTTGTAAAAACGTAAAATAAAAACAATATTGTAAGATGAACTATATAAAAACGTAATTGAAAAAATATAAAAGATATTGTAACATTAATTTTTGAAGAAGTTAAAAGTAAAATTAAAAAAAAAATTAAAAAAAAAAAAAGTGGAAGAAATTTATGAAAAAATGTGTACCGAATTTGTGAAAATGAAAATCAATCAAAAATTATTTTGTTTAAATTGTCATACAATTCTTTTAAAGATTAATATAAACTAGTAAAAAAATTACTATCATAACGTAGGTTTGAATGAAGTGTTTTTATATGATAAACATACATTACATATACACTTCTCCAAACAAATGCATGTATTAGATACACATCAGAACATACATGCATGCATATACACGCATCAGATTCACAAATCGATCCAACATAAACTTAATTTAGAATATATTATATGAATAAAGACCTAACTAATTTGTCAAATGTCAAATTATTGATCTATCAGAAGAAATTTATTTGCTCTTAGCATTTAGGTTTGTAGGTTGGAGAGAGGAGAGCATGGGAAGCATTTGCAAATTTTGAAGTGGACGATGCAAACAAGTGAGAGACTCCAAATTGTATCTTCACACCCTTGATACTTCACTGCAAGAAGTTGTGTTAGCTTTGGATGGGTGATATATAGTTGCATTTAAATTTAGTCATTTATCTATGGTTAGTCCTAAGATTTAAATATCCCCAAATATCCATGACGAACTAGAATAAAATGGTCTTTATTGTTATTATAAGTTATATATATAATTAAAAAAATTTGGATCCTATTCAGCTGTCTACTTTACTCATCTTCAAAGCCCGATGACTTTATCGAAACTCTTTTAACTATTTGATGATTATAGAAGGTTAAGATAAGGGTATAATACGAAGATGACAACAGTTACGGTGAATATGGAAATAAAGTTGTGTTAAAGGGCTGAACATGTCATGAATATAAGGCCAACAAAAATGCATACGTTGTTGTTTATGCTATATCCCATTGTTTTTATGTTGAAAATCGAGCGAGGATTACTATTCAGAAGAAATCCATTTTTAATAATCAATATTATGTAAAAGATGGACAATAAGAAAAAAGTGCAATTGACATTTTAAAACTTGCTGGGTACAACAAGGGATGGCCATGATTTTTAAATGTTCTGGAGTTTATTTTTGACAAATTTTCCAGCAAAAAGAGGTTACATGAGAAAAGATCAGGCAAATACCATAAAAGTTATAATATTTTGATGTGTAATTGAGAAAAACCTTATTATTAATATTTTTATACGTAATTGAGAAAAATCTTATTATTATTTTTCTTTTGGCTGTTGCTACAAGTGAGACATAATATTATCATTCTAACCAATTTAACGATTTTCATAGTCAACTATATTAATTGTTTTGCAAAATCAATCCTAAAAATTTAAATTTGGTCTCTATAGTTTGCAAAAAAAAAAAATGCAACATCAGTCAAAAACTCGGTTTTATGTTTTTTAACTTCTTTATTTTATGTTTTTTACCTTCTTTATTTTCGTTTATTTTTTTTTATTATTTTTAAGTCAAAACTAAACTTGTTTTCATATTTTTGTCCTTTTTTTAATATTTTTTTTATATTATTAGTTTTTTTTTTTTTTTTTTTTTATTTTTTTTACGGTTTGTTTTTTGTCAATTTGATAACTTCTTTTGATCTTTTTTAAAAAGTGTAAAGTGTATTAATATTTTTTTATATTTATCGTATTTGTTTCGTATTTTTTTTTATTTTTTTATGTATTTTTGTTAGGTTTTGTTTTTCATCAATTTGATAATTTATTTTGATATTTTTTAAAAGTGTAAAGTGTATGAATATATTATTAGAGTATATTATATTTTTGGTGCTTGAGTTTTTTTTTTTTTTTTTTTTCTAAAAGAACAAAAAAACAAAAAACAAAAATAAAGAAAAACAAAAAAATAACGAAAAAATATATAAAAATAAATGAATATAAAAAAATGAAAAAATATAAGAAGAAGTTAAAATATATATATATATATATATATATATATATATATATATATATATATATAATGAAAAAAAAAACAAAAAAAAAAAAAAGAAAAATATAAAAAAACAAAAAATATATATATAAAAACAAGTTTAGTTTTGATTAAAAAATAAAAATAAACAAAAATAAAGAAGTTAAAAAGCATAAACCAAGTTTTGGACATGTGGTGTAATTTTTTTGCTAACTACAAGAATCAAATTTAAACTTTTAAAACTATTTTTGCAAAAAAAAAAAAATTAACAGAGTTAACCATGAAAATCGTTAAATGGCTACTAATAACTCTACGTCCCATTTGAAACCAGAACTAACAAAAAAAAAAAAAAAAAAAGCTTTTCTCACTTATACAAAAATATTGTGCTTTTGTTGTATTTGCCCAAAAGATTATTAATGTTTAGTTTTGTTTCAATTTTAAACCCTGAGACCAAGTTACAGCTTGGAACTTCATCAAAACTTGAAACTGTGAGATTGTATCATTATCACATTTAATGAACTTTGATAGAAATCTTTATAAAATAAAATAGGATTAAGAGGTTCTTTTCATATATGTTTAAAATATCTATAAAAAACAAATAAATACCATCAATCTTTAAAGAAGAAACTGTTTTAGTTGAGGTTATTTTAGTGGTCTTCATCATAATCTATCATCCATAACCGGACGACGGTGCAAAATTTCAAACCCAATTGAGTTGGGTCAAGTTCTTTATTTTAGGAACCATTCAAGACTACAAACTTTTCTTTATCTGGACAAAAAACATACTATAAAATGTTTTGGAGTTCAAATATTAGATTACTCTTGTTATCCGTTAGCCGAAAAAATACATGTTTTTGATGCTTAACATCTCAAAGTTCTCAAGGGAATTTTCATACCTTCTGCACCTAGTGATCTAAATTAATTCATGGCCTAATAGGGTGGGGATCCGGCACCATCTTAATGTCGACCAAGATTTGTAATCTGATAGAGACCGATTCGAGATGGTCAATCTCCCAAGAATAATAGAAGAAGATAGATGATAGAGCCAATTATGGATGGCTAGTCCCCAAGAACAAGATTAGAAATCAAACTAAAAACATAATTTTTTCCATTCCCTTCGTAATGCAAATACATTCATATAAATAACTAAAGAAAGTCCTACTACTAACTAATAATAAGGAAAACATGCAATCATGGGTGTAATGCAAAAGTGAACGTGGTCTACTAACTAAATGGAATATGCATGTAACATTTGGAAGCTTCCATAATTATAGGAGGTGATGTTGGACTCTTTCTAATGCAACGTGTTGGCCATGTGCCAACCAAATAAACAAACCATTTAGGCCATGGAGGTGGCCGGTGATATGGACACAAACACATATCAATTCCTTCCTCTTTAAAATTGACCTCGTCCTCGAGGTCAAGTAAGTTCGTTTGGAGAGCAACGAGAGAAAAAAATGTTGATTGGACTGTTGAGTGAACATGACAAGTCGGACTTGCCCGAAGGTTTTTTTTATGGCGGCGGTTGTGGTGATAGTGGAAGTGATTTTTGTATTGATGGGGTGAATGCGAAAAGTTTGGTGGTGCCAGTGGTGGTAGCGACGATTGTGGTGCTGACGGTGCTAATGGTGGAAATGGTGGTGTTGTTTGCAATGTCGGTAGGAGAGTGTTAACGAAATTTGTGGGAATCTGGTTTTGCTTGGCGATGTTGACAAACATGGTGTCAAGTACGGTTGCAAGATAACGGAGGTGTTGATTGTTAGCAAGTTGTGGAGGTGGAGGCGGGATGAGTTTCACCATGGTTCCGGTTTGAATGTCGATGAGGGTGTTGACGGTGGCCATTTGTGTGATAATTGCATCAAGACGGTGGACATTAGCGGTGGAAATAGCGATGAGTGTGGAGAGTTGCTCGTGGATACTTCGTGGTGTGACATCGATTGACGGATCTTGATGGGGAGGCATGATGAAAGAGAATGAAAGCACCATTTGATAGAGACCAATTCGAGATGGTCAATCTTCCAAGAATAATAGAAGAAAATAGATGATAGAGCCAATCATGGATGGATAGTCCCCAAGAACAAGATTAGAAATCAGACTAAAAACATAACCTTTTGCATTCCCTTCTTAATGCAAATACATTCATATAAATAACTAAAGAAAGTCCTACTACTAACTAATGGAAAACATGCAATTATACTAGCTAAATGGAATATGCATGTTACATTTGGAAGCTTCCATAATTATAAGAGGTGATGCTGGACTCTTTCTAATGCAACGTGTTGGCGATGTGTCAACCAAATAAACAAACCATTTAGGCCATGGAGGTAGCCGGTGATATGGACACAAATCCTTCAATTTATCCACCTACACAAAATAATAGTAATTGTCAAGGATTTAATTTCACATCTTCATAATAATTTACCAATAAATTCAAACATTGAAAAAGAGATTTTTATGTTAACTACGTGGATCAACTTATATTATTTTCTCTTTACAAGGTGATTTCCCAACCTGGCTCAGTTGAGGCATGGATGTGTTTGTTACTTCTCCCTCGATGCACATTGCAGGTGTTTAGACCCAAAAATAGACAAGAATGTAGGTTTGGGAATAGAAAATCTTTACAACAAAGCTCCATCCTGAAATCCTTGGACAAATGGGGGAAAGAGGGTGGTATCACGAAGTTAGTTCAAAATATGTTAGACAATCCTGAGGTTGGAGCTATGAGACAGGGTGGAGGCATCCTTCAAAAGGAGGCTACATCAAGTAACACCAACATCAGACAGTGTCTCCGTAAGGTTGCAGATGGTCATTTTACCGCATCAGTGAAAGTGTTATGCTCATCGGGTGTTGCACCATATTAAAGCTTTAGAGGACAAACACCCTTTCAGACCACCCCCATCCATGCCGAGCCCTATAATTTCTGAACCTCCCCTTGTAGCAAACTTTGATTGTGTATTTAGTTGCATCAAATCCTTCCCTAAAGGAACTTCTTGCGGGGGAGATGGCTTGAGGGCTCAACACTTATTAGACGCCCTTTGTGGAGAAGGGTCTGCTATTGCCACAGATCTCATACATGCTATCACTTCAGTTGTTAATTTATGGTTAGAGGGAAGATGTCCAACCATTTTAGCAGAGTTTATTGCATCCGCTCCTCTCACGCCTCTACTTAAACCTGACAACGGAATACGTCCGATCGCAGTAGGCACTATATGGAGACGTCTGGTTTCTAAGGTTTCCATGAAAGGTGTGGGTAAAGAAATGGCCAAGTACCTTAATGATTTTCAGTTTGGGGTTGGTGTATCTGGCGGTGCTGAGGCTGTGTTACACAGTGCCAATAGGGTGTTGAGTGAACACCATGCTGATGGGTCTCTTGTAATGCTGACTGTGGATTTCGAATGCCTTTAACTCGGTGGATCGTTCAGCATTGCTCCATGAGGATAAGAAGATGTGCCCTTCCATTTCTTTGTGGGTGAATTTCTTGTACGGGCAAGCATTGAGACTTTATATCGGAGACCAACATATATGGTCTGCCACTGGGGTGCAGCAAGGTGACCCCTTGGGCCCTCTTCTTTTTGCCCTTGTTTTGCACCCGCTTGTGCACAAGATTAGAGACAATTGTAAGCTCCTTCTCCATGCTTGGTACCTAGATGATGGGATTGTCATTGGGGATTCAGAGGAGGTGGCTAGAGTGTTGAACATAATTCGGTTGCGTAGTCCAGGTTTGGGTCTCGAGTTGAACATCAAGAAAACGGAGATTTTTTGGCCCTCATGTGATGGTAGGAAGCTTCGGGTTGATTTATTCCCTACGGAGATAGGGAGACCTTCTTTGGGGGTGAAACTCCTTGGGGGGGCTGTTAGCAAAGACGCGGGGTTTATTAGCGGACTGGCCATGAAAAAAGCGGTCAATGTTGTTGATTTGATGGGCCTTCTTCCACAACTATGTGACCCACAGAGTGAGCTCCTTTTGCTTCGATCATGTATGGGCATTGCAAACCTTTTCTTTGGTTTAAGAACATGTCAGCCGGTACACATAGAAGAGGCAGCGTTATTCTTTGACAAGGGATTGTGCAGGTCTATCGAGGATATGGTGGTATGTGGAGGCCTCTTCTTTGGAGACATTCAGTGGCGCTTGGCTTCCTTACCTATTTGTTTTAGTGGTTTGGGTTTGTACTCGGCCTACGAGGTTTCCTCGTATGCATTTGTAGCCTCGAGGGCCCAATCTTGGGCATTACAAGACCACATCTTACGTGACAGTGGCATATGTGGTATGGACTCGGATTATGTATGTGCTATGACTCGTCTCCGTGATACGATTCTGGGATTTGACTGTAGCGGTTTCACTAATAAGGACACCGCCCCCCTAAATCCCAAAAAGCTTTGGCGTGTGCCCTTTTTAGCAAAATCGTCCAAGATATGGAAGTCAACTTCGATGTGACTGTTAGACAGAAAGCAGTCTTTGAGTGTCTGCGGGCGCCTCATGCTTAGGATTTTCTGCTAACTATCCCTATTGATGGTCTTGGCCAGCATATGTCTCCTATGGAGTACCGAACTATCCTTCGTTACCGCCTCATGATTCCCATATTCCCAATTGACGAGATATGCCCAGTTTGTCGCAAGGTATGTTTGAATACCTTTGGGGAACACACGGTTCATTGTAGAGAGCTCCCTGGTTTCAAGTATAGACATGATGTGGTTCGGGTTGTTCTCTTTGATGCTTGTCGGCGTGCTGGTATATCTGTGAAGAAAGAAGCGCCAGTGAACTTTTTGACGGACCCGCAGGATGGCAAATCTACACTTAGACCGGCTGACATTTTAGTCTTTGGATGGATAGGAGGGAAGCATGCGTGTGTGGATCTTATTGGTGTATCTCCTCTCATTGGTTTGGGGAGCGGAGGTTTCGCAGCTGGGCATGCCGCTTTGAAAGTCGCTGCGTGCAAAGTGGTAAAGCACGAGAATGCATGTAGAGAAAATCAACATGTGTTTGTTCCTTTTGCATTCGATACATTTGGTTTTCTCGCACCAGAGGCGGTGGAGCTCCTTAACAGAGTATAACGGGTCATGCATTCTAATGTCATATCTCCTAGATCCAAAAATGTTGTTTTCAAAAGAATTGGTTTTGCCATCGAAAAAGGGCTAGCGACGCAGCTTGTTTCCCGTTTGCCTTCAATCGATATGTATTGATTGAATTTCACATTTCAAAATATGTAAATTTTAGCCTTTTCAAGGTCCAAAACTTTAGAATTCATAAACATTTCCTAATTTTAAGCTCCCGCGCGATCGATAATTTTCAGATTGTTTATACCACCCTCTTTAATTTCTATGCTTACTACTTTGGACTATGGGTGTGCCATCTTCCCTTGAAAGTCAAACATGCATATATTCATTGTTTCCATGAATTCAAGTAGTTGCATTCATGGTATTCTCTATATGTACAAATGATGTTATGACCGTGGTGGTATAACATGGAATTGAATATTTTAAGAGGTTATACGATTTACCTTTACAGTATGTGTATAGATCATACTGGAATTATGGGTCTATTATAAGAATAACAACTTATGTTTTTTAAGTATATACAATGTTTAAAGATATCCAAGAACCAAATGTGACTCTTTTTAGACACAAAACAAAGAAAAACTCAATCTCTTTGAGGATAGAGCGAGTAATCTGGGGAATTAAAAGAATTTGACATATTGGATCACAAGACAAAACCTATTGATTAGTGCAAGTAGTATATGATTGAAATTGATAACTAACCTCTCATGCTCTTTGATTCGTTTTCTGCACTCCTACTTGATCCCAGATAACCTCAATCCATGCTTCCTCAAGTATGCTTTACCAGTGGCGGACCCATAATGTTTTAATAGGGGTGGCACTAAAAAAATTTCCGAATAAAACTAAATTAATAGTGGCACTCGTATTTTAAGCCGGTGCACCTAATAGTAAAAACATTAAAAAAAAAAAAAAAAAACATAATTTTTTACACTACGTGCCGAAATCGGAGCAGTGGCCCGGGACTCCCCGGGTTCCACTAAGGTCCGCAATTACGCTTTACACTCTACAAGACTTCACACATTTATGTCATTACTTCCTGAAAAGATAAAATTGCATTAACGAATGTTTTATGAATTTGAAAACCACTTCTGTTTCTTTCTCTTAAATTATTTTTTATACATTTTATCATCCCTTCAAATGCACATAGTTGTTGGGTGGTATTCAAGCTCAAAAGCATAATATAAAATGATGCGAAGGAAATGGAAACGATGGAAGCAAATTTTTAAAAGTAAATTTATATTGTCATATTTATACATATATTTATGAGTTGTTTTATTATATTTTAGTCATACTTTGGTCTAAACACAAGGACTTTTGGTACTTATTTGCATATATTTCATATTTCAGCCAGAAAAAGATATTTTGAATAAAATTGACCAAAATTGACAAAAGCTGGATGTTGGAGGGTGAAGTTCACATTTATGAACAAAGAAGCCTCAAAAGCATGTCTCAGGACAGTGACCATCGTGTGGTAAACTATGACCCATGATGTGGTGTCTGGAAGATTCTCGATTAAAGAAGATTACCTTGCAGAATATGATAAGGAAGCGTTCCCACATCGTGGCAGGCATTCGACCACAACTTGGTACTAGTTTATGATAAGTTTTCCTCCCATATAAAGGACGAATTTGAAGGCAAAAAAAGGTTTTTGATAGAATACTTCTGGAGAAACCCTAGAAGACCTGATTCGGCCAAGAGGAAGAAAGAAGAAGGTTAACTAGCAAGAAATCAACTCAAGCATTCGGTTTGCAAGATGTTTAGTTTAATTAACTATTTGTTTAATTGTTTTTCTATTGCAAACATGGGATAATATCCTTATCATTCTTTTAGTATAGATGAACCTTAATTTACTATGAGTTAATATTAGATCTATGAATTATTAATGCGGGTTTTTTAATTGTGCTTGCTAGATCAATCCTTATATGTTAATG